ACGCCTTTTATCCCCGAAGGGGTAGGCAGAGGTGCACACAGAAGTAACACCCACTTTTCACTATTTATGTTATGAGTCCCATGTAATAGGTTGTGAGCCTATTGGCATATACCGGGCACATTTCCAGACACCGTGCTACCACTGAGATTTCTTTTAAAAAACCCAGTAATACTTTGCCCGACTCGGGAATCGAACCCGAGATCCTTTGCCCGGTAGTCGCACTTGCGACCACTCGGCCATCGAGGCAGTCGATCGTTCGTATCGATTTGTTTTTCACTATAATGTCTTATTCACTAAAAAGGAGTAGACAGAGGTGCAAGTAAGATTTTGGTATAAGAAATCTGCTCTAACATCTCTTAACTCGGCATTATGCGTCCTGGCTTCATTTCCCGGGTATGGCAAAGTTTCGTTGAAAGTTTTAGGTATCTTTGCTCATGCATCTTTACTTACCTCATCGAGAATTAAAAGGTTTAAAGTTATGTTTTATTTTGTAAATAGTGCAATTGTTTAGACAGATTTAAGTGCAGTTTTTTAATGGGATAAGCCGATAAACGTGGAGATGGATCATCTGATGGTAGGCAATCGTCATTGTCCATGGACGCCCGGAACACTAGAAGCTTTAGGGGAAAGTGGGGGTAATAGTGCCTCCGGTAACCTCACTCACACGGCGAAACACAACGGAAGCGTTGTTTTACGTCGGTTTTCTGTGAGGCCGTGGTATCACTCCGGTCGAGCCGGCCCATTCGTGCCGAAGCATGGCTCTCCCACACTCAGTACTCTCGCACTTGTTGATCAGTGTTTGATCACTATCGATGATGGAGCATGTCTATTCATAAGCAACCTATTCAATCGAGTTCATTTTTTTTTTTTTTTAAAAAAAACGTTGCCCCACACTAGGATTTTCTCCTGTGTCGTGGGTGCGTTTACAAACATACAAGTTCACATACACATTACACCCAGACCCGGAACAACAATCTGTGGTTCACACAAAGAGTTGTTCCGTGCGGGAATCGAACCCGCGACACGTTGCGTGGCAGTCAGTTGCCCAACAACCGCGCTAACCGTGCAGTCTAAGCAGTTAAAGAAACCTAAGACGAATTTACATAGTCTAAAGTTAAAACCAAATTACTTAGGCACATGGATTGCGAAATTTTAGTAATTTCGTCAAATACCCATTCTTGCATTGTCCTTCGTGTCTCCATAAATTGTAGGCGCACGCGCACGACTGTCACCTACATTTCTGCTTACCGTATCATCACGACTCTATTGCTCCATAGAGAATTATTGTCTGTCTGTTTATTGAAGGATTAATGTATGGAGATTGTTATGTGGGTGGGATTCTAGCAGTGTGAGTTTGATTTTTGATGGTGCAAAAATATAGTGTGTGCATGTGTGAGTATGTATTGCGTTTTTCCATGTCAACCATATTATCTACGGGGGTCGACTTTCGGTTCGGGCAATATTATATTGTTCAGAGTTTTGATTTTCCTAGTAGAGTATTATCTGGCCAAAAGTGAGTGTAGGTACCTACCACTACACTGAGTGTACACTCAGTTTGCCATTCTGCCTACAATTTTTACGGAATACAAAATGTGAATTTACGTTTTCTTCATTGGATTGTGTGATTTTTTAAATTAAAAAATATGTGTATGTTTTTGGCGCACTCTGCTCATAAATATGTCTTATTGTAACTCTAAAGTAGCAAAGATTTTCTCTAATACCTACCCAGTTTACGTGAGTATTTACATAGAAAAGAATGAAAGAAACATTCGCATAGAATACTAGTGTAAAGAAGGATTTTTTTTAAACGTTGCCCCACACTAGTATTTCTTCTGTGTCGTGGGTGCGTTTACAAACGTACAAATTTACATATACACATGACACCCAGACCCGGCACAACAATCTGTGGATCACACAAAAAGTTGCTCCGTGCGGGAATCGAACTCGCTACACGTTGCGCAGCAGCCAGTTACCCAGCCACTGCAGCAATCGTGCAGTCAATTATTGATTCAAGTGTTAACATTTTTAATCAATTTTAAGAAGGATGTCACTCTCCATCTTAATGGAGGCGATCGTATTTTTGTCCAATGACTGAAGCTATCAAATATTCAACGTCCAATGACGTGTCACTAGCTAATTATTTATTGGACAAAGAACAGAAGGTTCATACACTTTCCACCTGTTTACCAATAATACGGTAGGCCCCATTAATTTTGCCTTACCAAATCAAATACTTCAACTAAAGATTTCGTATCATAGTGATAGTAAAGCTATAGTACGTACTAAACAGATCTAGTGCCACTAGCCTCAGGCCTGACTGCGCTATAATAAATTCAGATGATTACCGCGTACAGTGCGCTCTGAGCTCTGATGTGCCAACTTGCGTAAGATGAGCACGCGCATCACGGCTCTATGTTTGATCGTTATTATACATTGATGTAGTTGGGTACTGGAATAGACTAGTGGACTAGGTAACATCCAGTTTCGAATGACTTGTTAAAATAATCATGAATTAGATAGATTATTATGTTTCCAGCTTACTCACGTAATAATTTGACGAGGAACTCGATTAGTTTCAAGCCTTGCTAGAGGCTCATGTTCTGCTGTAGCGACAGTCGCCGCGTCGCGGGTCGCGAAATGCTGCTCATGAATATGAGCCTCTAGCATGGCTTGAAACTAGTCGAGTTCCTCGTCAAATTATTATGTGAGTAAGCCGAAAACATAATAATTTATTTAGTATGTCTCACGAAAGTTACAATACAATCATGAATTAGATCTGTATTAAAACTATCGTAGAACATATATTTGCGAGTAACCACTATCATGTAATACTACCTCGTTGGCCGATTGGTCGCAAGTGCGACTGCCGGGCAAGGGGTCGCGGGTTCGATTCTCAGATCGGGCAAAGTATTACTTACTGGGTTTTAAAAAATTCTCAGTAGTAGCAGGGAGTCTGGAATTGTGCCCGATATATGGCAATAGGCTCACTCCCTATTACATGGGACTCATAACATAAATAGTAAAAAGTGTGTATTACATTGTACAGTGTCATTAAGTGCCGTAATGTGCACCTCTGCCTACCCCTTCGGGGATAAAAGGCGTGAAGTTATGTTATGTGTTATGTTATGGAACGGACGGACGAAGCCGCTAACAGAAGCTAAAGCTAGTGCATTATAACACATACTTAGGACATCTAGTATTACTATGTCTTTGTAGTTAGGTCAGATTTATAGGGCTAGGCAGAGACGCTGCGTCAATAAATATAGAGCGAGTGATGCCTGTCGCAACAATATGGCCGAATTACTGAACTGACGGATAGATTGAACGTCTGTAAATTATTATATATACATATATAGGAGTTAAGTACAATGATTATACGGTATACACACATATTTAGGGGTCCCTTAACGCCAGACGGCACCTAACGTCGGACACTTGTATTGTCTCGATAACTGATAACATGAGCGATTCAATTTTTACCAAAAATCTTAGGTGTCTGCCACTGGGAGATTTCCGCCTAAAGTTGAATCGCTTGCTTTGTTAGTTATCGAGATAATACAAGTGTTAGGTGCCGTCCGGCGTTTAAAGACTTCCCCCTAGATACTTCCCCCTATTATATTTATCACCATCCCTTATTTTAAGGGGGGAGATTCATCGAATGACTTATCCCGCCTAGGTGAGGCAGGAGGGAGTGTCAGACTCTTACTGACTAAAAACCACCCCGTTTCTTCTCCTGCACTTCGAGTTAGAGCCCTGGTAACCCGTTAGGTGCTCTGCGACTCTGAATCGGCATCAGCCCTATTGGGCCCCAGCCGTGGTGGTCTGATGGTTCTTTGAGGCGCGCGCTTACGGTGCCGGAGATCGTTAGTTCAAAGTCAAAGTCAAAGCATTTATTTCAATTATAACCATAGTTTGGTACTTTTGAAACGTCAACAAATACAAAATAAAGAATAGTCTGTCAGTCAGTCCGTCAGTGAAATTAGGTGAAGCTAGGTGCTCATTCCAAGTGGTGCTCGTTTCAGGTGTCCATGGGCGACGCAGATTGCTTACCATCAGGTGATCCGTCTGCTCGTTTACCGGCTTATTACTTAAAAAAATGCATGTTAGCAATAAACTCGTGGTGGCCCGGAGGTTTAAGACGCTCAGACGCTGAGAAGCGAGCGTCTCCTATTGCCAGATTCATAACCTACCAACGGCAAGCACCCAGTGACTTATTCCGAGTTATATGTACTTTCTAAGATTATCTAAACACTGACCAACGGTGAAGGAAAACGTCGTGAGGAAACCTGGACTTATATTTTTAATTATGAGTTTGAAATCGCCAACCCGCATTGAGCAAGCGTAGTGATTAATGCTCAAACCTTCTCCGTGTGAGAAGAGGCTTTTGGTTAGTAGTGGGCATTTATAGGCTGTTGATGATGATGATGATGATGGCGCTTGTGCTCCAAATTTTAGCGAAATAAAAAGAAATATTATAAATTCGTCCGTTTGTTTATTTCATGAATTATTCTGAATCACAGTAGGTAAGTATAATGAAACAATAGGTAAATGTATCTAGGAGTACAATCTATCACTTCGTCCATTGGGTACTTACAATTAGGAGACAATATTATGTGGGTAGTACAATTATCGTTACTTTTATCATTATTTGTTATACAGTGTAATTATTATTCTTTATTATTAATCTATTGATTGTTAAATACAAAAGTGCGTGGTCTTAACTTTATTCTACAATTTGAGATGTCTAAATTAGTTTTCTGTACATAAAAGGTGAATTAAAATATAAAAAATCTTAAGTAAAAAAATCTTAGGATCAGAAGTTTCTATCAAGTACCCAACATCACAACTATTCAACGTATGAATCGATACAAATAAATTCATTTTTAATTATTAAATTATTATATTACATTATTATTCAGATTTAGCACAAATGTTTAAGTTTTACTATTTTATTAAAATAACAAAATTTAATAAAACGAAAATAATATAAAAATATAATAGGCAGACTCGATTCTTAAGGTGGTTACACACTGGTGACGATACGCTGCGACTAATCGCACGACGGACCAGCCGTCGACTTGTCTTAAGGCTTGCTTTAGACAATATTTAATAGTCTATAATAGTAAGAAATATTAATAAGTAGATATTTATTATCAATAGTAACTCATAAAAATAAACTATTAAACATACTTATATTCATCCTTATTGCTTAGATTTTATGATACAATTACAACTATGAATTAAAATGGTATTAATACTTTTTTCTCTGTAACGTAAGTAAGAGGTGAATAATGGAAGAAATGTAAGAATAAAAATAAAATTAACAATTATAGGCGCCTAACACAATTTCAAAATTCATATTAGCGTAGTAGCAAGACGGAAAGACTTATGAAAACGATTTAAAATCGCAGCGTTTGTCGCGCACAGTGTGATGCGGCCCTAATATAAACTTATTTAGTACCAGGAACATCCAATTAAGTATACTCGACGCTGTGTGCATGTCTGTCTGTCTATCCGGCCTGGAACAAACAGAAATCAAGATTATTATTATAATTTTTTTTTAAAACGCGTATTTCGAAAAATATTGCAGTACTAATTAATACGAGCGTGCCGCAGGTTCGTTTCCCGCACGGAACTCTGTGTGTGATCCACAAATTGTGGTTCCGGGTCTGAGTGTTATGTGTATGTGATATTGTATGTTTGTAAACGCACCCACGACACAGGAGAAAATCCTAGTACGGAGCAACGTTTTTAGAAAACAATAAAATAAAAAAGAAAAACAAAAGAAGAGTTTTACTAGTTTCATCAGAATGAAGTTATCATAACTGGTGTAAAAAAGATCAATAATAATATAACTATATAAGACATGTACCTACACTGAACAATATTGTGGAAATACAAACAGACAGAAAAGAAAATAAAACTTACTTTAGCCGGATAAACGAACGTCTTGGCGAGTTGTGAGCCGAATACATTGGTGGCTTGGCAAGTGAACTCGCCCATGTCACTCCAGCGCAGTGACGTTATTACTAGCTCGCCTGAACGCAGCACCTGGCAATAAGGAAAATAAATTGTTAATCCTGTTTTTTTTATTGTTAATGGGTAGGTGTTTAACCACGGGCTGATGCCGATACGGAGTCGCGGAAGACTTAACGGGTTGCCGGGGCTCCGGCTCGACGTGCAGGAGTAGGAACAGGGTGGGTTTTAAGCTAAGATATATAAGCTACCTATTCACTCGCGCCACTCACTTGAAGGTTTTACCCTTCAGGAAACATAGATTCTAACAGTGTTTCATTCCTTTGATGTTCACACAAGGAAATTTGAAGTGAACAATGTAACCAAGGATTGTATTGTGAACCTGATTGAAAAAGAGTAACCTATGGAGTTTCTTGCTCGTTCTTCTCCATAGGAATCTACACTTTGGAATAAGCAAACAGCTTCATTAGAGAACTGAGCGATAGCCTGACATTTTTTCTTTAATATTTAAACATTTTGTTTTGACTAAATTATTATGTTTTCGGCTTACTGACGTTATATAAAATTGAGTTAAAGTACCTAAAACTTAAGTTTATAAAGTCAAAGTCAAAGCATTTATTACATAAAACCATAATTTGGTACTTTTGAAACGTCAACAGATACAAATTAAATAATAGTCTGTCCGTCAGTGAAGCTAGGTGAAGCTAGGTATAAGATTAATTGTTAGAATATGCAATCTGAATTTGTGTACAATATGTGGAAGTGCTGTATTAAAAAGAACTAAACGGTAATAACCAATAAAAAAGACTACTTACCCTCATTCTCGCGGAATCATTCCTAATGGGGGTTCCCTTGTTGTCGAACCACGTGACATGAGGTTTGGGGTGTCCCTTAACCCGGCATGGCAGCACTATGTTGTTGCCCATCGTATCCACGTACATCTCATAAGTGACAACTATCCGAGGTTCTAAAGGTAATAGTTTTGCGCGCTCCGACAGTATACTGCTGCCATCTGTTGGTGAGTAGAAAGAACTAGTTAAAGTTTGTTTTAGCTTTAGTATCATAATAATTTTATTATTACTGTGCTTTATTCATTCGTATGTTTACTGTACAATGTCAAGCAGATAAACTGTATCCAATCTATCAAATGTCTTTAAGAGTTCAGATAAAAGTAGGTTTATTGATTGAACTTGAAAGTTTATTAAAGTTTCACAACTTCAGCGAGTACTAATAATCGAATTCTTAATTTTTTTTTTATTGCAACAGGGAGAAAAAGCTTGCATAATTACAGATCATAACGTTCAAAATCCATTCTTACCTTTTTCATAAACGACAGTGGTAGCTCTAGCAGTTTTGGTGCCAGACGTGACGAGGCAAGTGTACACGTCATGACCCGACGTCCTCGTTACCAACAGGGTCGAAATGACCCGCGCAAGAGAACTCGGGTTACTGTCTATTAGTTCATTTGATTCTACGTCATACTGCAAAGAAATTATTAAATGTTATTAGTGCTGCCATCTATTATCGAGTAGGAGAGTTTCAGTGGAACTTGGTTTTTTACTGGATAGTCAAATTATTTATTTAATTTAGGTTTACCGTATCTTTGAATGTCGTAAATAATAAAAAAATAAGCTAAGTCAATTTGTTCGTTTCAAAATTGTATCATCAGAAATCAGAAGAGTAAGCAACTCCATGGTTATTAAAAATATATAATTATGTTTTCAAAAATAAAAATGAATTATTGCTTTGGTTTAATAAGCTACATACATGAAGATAATTCAAACATTTCTTACCTCATAAACCGGAGCGTCATTTTTAAACCAGTGTATAGAGGGCGCTGGCACACCGACGGCGTCACACGTTAGTTCCAGCATTTCGCCACGAGCGTGCGTGTACATCGCTTCGGGGCGCTGCGTTATCGTAAGGAAGCGGCGGGCACTGGATTGTAAGTTGTTTTGAGCTACTGGAAAACAATTACAAAAGAATTAAATATGATGTTTTTAAATTATATATTTATTAAAATTTAAAAGTTTGTCGTCGAATTATTTTTGTTTGGTAGTTCGTCTATTCCTTAAGAGATGGCGCTAGTTATACATTGTATAACACGCAAAAATAATTATGCACTACATTCAATAAATCGAAAACAAAGAAGTATGCGTTCTCAATAATATTTTAAACCCAAATATTGGTTTATATGACATCATGTTACATTACATTTCGTTATGTTACATTTTTAACCGACTTCAAAAAAGGAGGAGGTTATACGTTCGGCCGGTATGTTGCTTTTTTTTATTATGTTAAAAACTCACCATTATGTTCAATATGATTATCTAAGTCTGAGAGTAGCCTCATGTGTTTGTTGACGTTGGCGCAGCGGCTTACGCCGAGCAGGGACGCGGTGAACAGTAGCACCAGATACATTCTCAATAAATTACTAAACGTACGTATAATACTGCAGAGATTCTTGTTGACGACTTATCTGGAACAATTGGAAATTTCTTGTTAGATAAATTACAAAAATAACATGTGATCCCCGAAAGGACAAAAATATTACTAAAAATAACATGTGATCCCCGAAAGGACAAAAATATTACTAAAAATAATATGTGATCCCCGAAAGGATACGTAAAACTGCACATAAAGAATTTAGCATTGATGTGTTAAGTTAGATTTTTTTCTTGTTTTCTTCTCCTATCCTATTTTTCTATATCTCTTATATTGATTTTAGTTGTAAATACTTTAGCTTAGACATATTTATTTTAGCCTTACTTATTTAATAAGTACTTATAGATTAATTTAAATATAATTCCTATATTTACGAAACCAATTAAATATACTTTTATTTAGTAGAATACTTTTATTTAGATAATAAAAAATGAATCTATAGTCATACACGGAGTACATATTTAGTCCACGTACTGTTACTGAAAATCTTTGAAAAACTGACAGAGTCATCAATAATTTTTTGCGTTGGCTGGAAATTGAATTCGAGACTCTTTGTTCGATAGTCGCGCTTATGGAGACTTTCGCATTTGTAAAATTAGTTAGTAGTAGGTACTCGTAAGATATTATAACCTAGGTTAAATATCATGTAAAACATAATTTATGAAATCAAAGTCAAAGTTAAAACCATTTATTTCAATTAAACCAGGAAGGCACTTTTGAACGTCAAAACAAAATATTTAAATACTTAAAGAAAAAAAAGGTCAGTCTGCCGGCCAGTCCTTTAGTTGCTCTATTTGCTCTTTCCATAGTGTAGATTCCTAAGGAGCGATCCACTCGCGCAGTGGATCGCTCGTTTTTCTCCACTGCGAATGAGACTTTTGAGTGAACATGACAACTCCAAGTTGACACAAATAAACAATCTAAGGATCCGATGTGAATAAACGTCAATACTAAGCTAACTGTAACTCAGTAACTTACTTCCAAAAAAAGTTAACCATCTAAACAGTTTCATCAGAAAGCAGAAAAAAAAAGTTGCAAATCACAAATTCTCCGAACAACTATCTATGAGACCTTAAAAGACATTGTCACATTCAAAACTTACAGATTCAAATCTTATCTCATACATTTCACAGAATGTATGCGCAGGAGTTTTTTCAAAATTACCGACAAACGTCAGGGTTTTTGGAGGTGTGGCTCTGTTGTAAAAAAGGGTCTTCCTAAAGCAGGGGTTCCCAATCTTTCCTTGGTCAAGGACCACTTTTAATTACCAGTTTTTTTTTTCATTATTATTATTTTTTCATTAGGTATTATTATTTTTTCATTATTATTATTTTTTAAGGTGTTAATATTTTAGTTTTAATTATACTATAAGTTTTATTTAGCTTGCCCCGTTGTTTGTTTTTGTTAAATTTAACCCCTCGAGCGTCCTTATGAGCACCCGGTGGATCATAAGAAAAAATGCTCCATGCTGCTTTCTCTTTTATAAAATCTATTATTAATATTTTTTTTTTCTTCATCATCATCATCATCAACAGCCTATAAATGCCCACTGCTGAGCAAAGCCTCTTCTCACACGGAGAAGGTTAGAGCATTAATCACCACGCTTGCTCAATGCGGGTTGGCGATTTCAAACTTATAATTAGAAATTATAAGCCGAGGTTTCCTCACGATGTTTTCCTTCGCCGTTTGTCAGTGGTGTCTAAATAATCTTAGAAAGTACATATAACTCGGAAAAAGTTTTAGTTTGACTGTATTTTTTATTTCTATTGTAATGATCCTTGTTTTCGTGTGCCAATGGCCAAATAAATGCATTATCTTTCTTTCTCCAAATGTCACGTGTGCACCCGTTGGATCATAAGGAACGCGGACGCTCGACGGGTTAATCATTGGAATTTCACCCCTTTTTGACGACAGATCGATTTGATATTTGGTATACACTCCTAATCTTGATGACCATACAATATGTATAATGTGATTTTTCTACAACTACTTTCACTACGGATATCATGAAAGAGTAACGATGGAGTTTCATACTCGTTCTTCTCCATTCGAAACTACACTTTGGAACGAGCGCCTTCACTGACATACAAACGGATGGAAAATAAAATGTTTGACGTTTCAAAAGTGTCTAATTAAGGATTAATTGAATTAAATACTTTGACTTTGACAAACGAAAGGGGTTGATTTGTAGAATAGAGTTTATTAAAACCGTTCAATATAAAAAAAATCTTATTTCATTTCGCGGCCTACACTTTTTTATATTAGACGGAACTGATGTTTGACCACTATCTCGCCAGGTGGTAAGCGATGATGCGGTCTACGATGGAGCACGTCGTCCCATAAGCAACCTATTCACTCGGGCCTTGAAGACACCCAGGTTATCATCACCCCGTTAGGAAATACAGACTCTGGTAAAGTATTCCACTCCTTAGCAGTACGCACAAGGAAGCTTGAAGCGAAACGCTACTTGATACTTTGTCTTGCGGACCACCAGTTGGGAGCCACTGTCCTTAAGGCGAGTGATTCATACTGCAAACACGTTAAAAGGTAATAAAGGGTCCCTTTTTGAAGGAATTTTTATGTTCTTCCGCTTAGCAACAGCTTCGAGGCATGTGTAGTAGGGTAGGTGTCGACTTCGTGGTCATAAGATTATTTTAAGTAAAACTTTTTGGTGATTCATTTTTTTTTGTTTATGTAGTGTTGTTGATGTAATTATTATAAGTGACATTTTAATTATCATAAGTGACATTTTAATTATTAGGTAGTAGTGATATTTTAATTATTAAAAGTATACCTACTTGACGTTATAATTATTTTAGTAAGTAGTAAAAGTGTTAAATCAATAATTAAATTAATATTATGATGATTCCCATAACTTTTATAGTAATAACGAACAAGATTTTTTTAGACAAGATTTTTTCAATAATTTTCATTTGTAAGTAGTATAAGTAATTTTGCAAGAAATAAAAGACTTTTTTATCTATTTTATTGACTATTTACTGTTGACGAATGTTATGAATGAATAGTAGGTAAGTGGGTACGATGTTGTCTAAAAGTTTGGGTGCCATAAAATGTACATTTTTTCAATAATATACGTAAATAATACGCAATACAACTTTTACAGAATAATATTATTGAAAGTGTTGCCGTTTTTAAAACAATACGAAATATGCATTTCTTTTAATTTTAATCTTTGTATTTGGTGATAAAATTGATAAATATACTAACTTAGTAAGTATTTTTATTGTATATATTTTTAGTTCTTTAACATAGTATACTTTATTACAGATAACAATAGCCTAAAATAGGTGTAATTAGATTAAACTTCATAATTTAATTTTACAATAAAAAGCCCCAAGATAAACTTATAACCTAGATACACAAACTTAACTCACTATTTAAAAAAAAACAACTCTTTTTCCTTATAAAAATCATATTGGTTGGAAATGGTGTTCCTGGACTACTAATAAGTATTTTGACGTACATATAATTGTCTATTGTTCGGTTAACAGATTATAAATGATCATTGTACATGTTTAAATTTATCAATGAATTTGAATACGTCACTGGGAGTTTCCTTATCGAATTTCATACGTCATAATATTGTAGTTTAATTATAGATTTATTATGTAACTGTGTGGTAATTGGAGAGACGGTGAGCTGGTGATTATGGTAATGTTACAACAGATCTCTTGTCTGTATTTTGTGTCGAGAAGAACACTCGGTGTTTTTTATTATCTCTACAGGAATCTTGGGAAATCCCCTCTTTTTTTATGTGACAAGCCCGCCACAACTTCCCAAAACCGCTGCAACTTCTGTAAGCCAGGATCTACAGTAGATACAACCATTAAAACACCGGAACACTGAAGTCCGGCGCGTCCCAGGGACATGAGTAACTGTCTTGGTTCCCGCAACGAAGTGAATTAGAAGATATTATAAGAGAAATCCCCTCTTAATGACACTAATTGAACACTAAGTACACAATTGTACGCAAAATATTTGTAAGCTTATCCAGCATAGGACGTAGGTCACATTAGAGCTACATCCTATGTATCATTATCTATACTCTACAAGCTTAGCTGTACCATAGTATTAAGCTGAGCTCCAGCCTTTTGTGCAGCGACGCACCATGAGCGTTTTGTGTGTACCAGAGGTCTTAGTACGAGCTTATTTTACTTTTAAAGTAATCGTAACGAGTACGCATTCGGCGCTGTGATTGGTTGGTTCATTGGCGCCGGCCAATCAGTGCGCCGAACGCGTTCTCGCAAACTCGTACTAAGACCTCTGTATTCTTGTTGTGTGTCGTATCGTAATAAATTGTTTTTCTTTCATTCTTTCTTTCTACATCATAATCATGTGTACTGTAATTTCACTCATGTTACTCATCCATTTACTATCTATAAATCTGACTTCAGTTTTCTGCGATCTTTCAAGCTGACATTTTAGGTAGATAAACCTTTTGGTATCGACAAAAAACCGTTGAGGACAAAACTTTTTTTAAATATTAGTTTAGATAATAAAAAGATACTTCATATTCCCTTCATAATACGCAGACATGTTGGTTCTCATAGATAATTAGAATCATTCAGTTTTCGCCACACAAAAAGAGGTGGACTAGAGTAGATAGATTAATGTAGCATTTACCTTACGTGGTAGGTATCGTAACCTGCACGTGTCACTACAGGAAATGGTTTGATAGTAAAAGATAATCTGGTTTGAACTGGTCGCTACTTCTTATATTATTTACTTCTGATAATAAAAAGTTTGATAGTGGAGTACTGTAATCTTTGAAAATCAGTTTATGATATTATACCCGGCGATTAATATTGCATATCGACCTTTGGAGGTAGATTTTTTTTACAATAAATTGCCGTTAAGATTTTTTTTTTAACTTTTGCACCACATATGATTTTCTCCGGTGTCGTGGGTGCGTTTACAAACATTACATACACGTTCACATACACATGACACACAGACCCGGAACAACAATTAATTGTACAACTTTCATGAAGTAAGTTACTGAAAAGTTCATAAAGCATACTATAGCTTGAAAAAAGAACTTTTACTTCAAAGCTACCTTTTTTTTGTTTTTTTTTTTGAGGGGAGATAATCATCGAATGACTTCTCCCGCGCGGGTGAGGCAAGAGGGAGTGTCAGACTCGTACTGACTAAAAACCACCCAGTTTTTACTTCTGCACTTCGAGCCGGAGCCCCAGCAACCCGTTAAGTCTTCCGCGGCTCCGTATCGGCATCAGCCCTGTTAGGCCCCATCTGTGGTGGTCTGATGGCTCCTTGAGGCGCGCGTGGAACGCAACGCTCCGTACGCTCGGGCCTGGTTCTAGTCAGGCGGCGAGTCACCCATGCTCGCCGTCTGCAGGCCCGCGCTTACGGTGGCCGGAGATCGTCTCGCTTTCCCCGACGCCCGGAGTGTCTCTCGCGACGGCCGGGGGGTGAGGAGGTTCGTTCCCTCACGCTCCTCACTCACCTCCTCCTTAGCTAGCATGACTGCTTCGCAGAAGGAGGAGATGTCAACCCAGTCCCCCTCGTACCATGGTCGGCCAGACCAGAACCAGAGCCGGACGCGAGAGGTCGCCTATCATATTTTTCAGCTTACGTAGTCAGTCAGTAATAATTTGACGAGGAACTCGACTAGTTCTAAGCCATGCTAGAGGCTCATATTCATGAGCAGCATTCCGCGACTAGCGACGCGGCGATTGGCGCGCTCAAGACACCCCATCTTGTGGATGTCAGCATCAGTTGCAGGAATAAAAAAATATTTTCTTTAATATAGGCAACATAATATAATTCAAAAAGGGTACTACTACAGGTAAAATCGTTACTTTATTATTTAGGTATCTACCTCTATAATAGAAAAGAATTCCACGCAAGTCACGTAAAATCGATATAAAATATGTGATTAGAATTATAATAAAGTCAACATTAATTTATTATGTAATTGTGACGATATCAATGAGTGAATCATAATTGTAGATACACGGGTGCAAATGTATGGAATACCCAGTATAAACTGACCGTGCAATATGTGAAATGATCATACAAAGCGGGGTCATGGTACACTGGTTGATACGGTTATTATATATAGCCGTGTCGTATATATATACATATGTCATTTAATCGTGACTTTGATGTCTTCAAGGGTTTTTTTCATTAAGCAAAAACTGTTTATTGAAGAGGCTGAAGATTTATAATTGAATCAACGAAACAATGTACCTAATTGTATTGTGAACTTGATTGAAAAAGAGTAACCTATGGAGTTTCTTGCTCGTCCTTCTCCATAGGAATCTAAACTTTGGAACGAGAAAAAGAACAATAATTAGAGGTCTGGCCGACAGATTGATAATATTTTTCATATTTGATTTTGACATTCAAAAGTGCAAAGTATAATTAAGACACATGATTTTAACTTTGATCGAGCTCAGTATGGTGTTATTTAAGAGACCAACGCCCCGTAAAATGCTGAGGATATTAGCAGTGGTGGGATGCGAAGAGCGTATAGCGTTATTGAAGACACCTACTTATGTCAAGTTTTTGTAAAGGGCTGACGATGATGATGACTGGAAACGATATAAAACTTCGCTTGCCCGCGACTTGTTCCGCGTAAAGTATGAATTTTAGAACATAACCTTTTTATGATTCCATTTTCCAAAATTAAAGTAGCCTGTGTTATTCCTTAGTACATTAGCTACCTGCCAATAAAAGTCCCGTCAAAATCGGCCCAGCCATTCCAGAGATTAGCTAGTACAAACGGGCAGATGAACAAAAATTGTAAAAGATGTTATTTTGGCGACCCGTGTGCAATATACATGTATTATACATACATATAAACCTGCATTAAAAATTACTCTATCTACTAAAAAAAACCGCATCAAAATCCGATGCGTAGTTTTAAAGATCTAAGCATACATAGGGACAGACAGACGGCGGTCAGCGACTTTGTTTTATAGTATGTAGTGATTCGTGTACATGTAGTAAAATTGCGGTTGTTTTAATATTAAAAACAGACATTCCAATTTAATTTTTCTGTGTAGATGAGGTATCACTTTTAAGGGTATTAGGATGGACTTTATCCTTTGTTTGCACTAGTTCCAAAAAGTATTTGACTGGTCTGGAAATACCTACGTTTAGTTTACCTTTCAAGGAGTAGCCCACTTATTATTTCAAATTCCTATAATATTTCTATTCTACCAGAACTATTTCTAATTCAAATGTTTGTAGTCTTTGTCTACATTCTCTTTACTTTTAACATTATCTATTAATTCAGGTGCATTTTTAACAACAGTACCACTGACCAGTAGGGCTTTTTCAGCAAGTTTTCAGTTCAGTTTCAGTCAAGTATCTACGGAGTATCGTAGATCTCCAGTAAGTATACCGAAGGGCTAAATAGCGTTGTCATTTATAGTGCAAAAACAATTTCGTGTTTTACGTAATTTGAATTTAAAACTCATAATATTTTCATATCCTTGAATTAATGACGTCTCGAAGGTTTTAGAAACTATGACGAATTAGGATTTATTTTTTTATTTATTAATTAATTAATAAATGACATCATGATGTTATTCTTAACATCTTTGTCGTTACAATTCACCATAAAATTATATTGAAAACAATTTGAAGGGTCGTAAAATAATAAAAAAAAATGTAAAATAAGTAAACATAATAAAACATAAATAAAAGAAACCAAAAATTAATAATACCTGTCAAAATTCCCGCCACTCGTATCCGTCAAAACTGTCACATAATTTTTTAAATTAAATAAAAAATAAACTACCAAAAACAAAAACACGATCACAGGATGGAAATAAAAAAAATATTTAGATAAAAAATAAATGCGTTCTAATTTTGAATTCCAATTCACTGAACGAACCACGGGCCGGGTAAACGCCTTTTAGCACGAGACCATCGGTCGAAATGATCGCTGAATGAAAACTGATATTAGAGAACACAAACTTATATAGGCGAATGAGGTAGCGCAATTGAACGGGCGCCATGAAAAATTTAAATCGCATTCGTATTGACTTTGTAATGAACAAAGAAAGTTCCATACGTTTACTGAAACTGCACCACATATAGGATTTATATTGCAGTTTCCTTTGCCTGCGGATTTTGCTAGAAAAGAGGGATATATGCTAATACGATTGTCATTGCTTGGATTTGTCAAAAATGTTTTGAAATTTGAATGATGCATGTGTGATTAGATTGCAAAATATTGAGTAAGACGTAATGTAGGTGTGAAAATACTGAATTAAATACTCAAATTATTTTAGAAGAAATAAAAGTGAAAAGACATATTTTTGGTTAAAAGTTAAGGTTCAGTATCTATGCTTAGTAAAACGTTTTAATTCCAATTACACAAATATTGTAATAAAAAGAAACTCAATTTTAATTATTATGCGTAAATGACTTAGTCAAATGATTAATTGTTTTTTGTTCTTTCATACGTCAGGGATAACCTTATTATTGTCTTCCTTGTCATTTCTATTTCTGATCTCTTCTCTCTTAGCTAAAATAATTTGTCTGTTTGCCCTTATTACCTAAGTGACTTCTTAAGCTCATTTTGTACAACAAATCAACAATTAAGTTAATTAAGACTATTTGTGGTTGAATTGATTTTGTTAATTTAGTCGCAAAAGTGATAAACGCTACTGTAGATGCCACGCACCATCATCGCTAACATTTTATATCATAAATGTGGGACGTTTAATACTTATAAGTTAAGTTTGAGAGAGAATGCTTCGGCACGAATAGGCCGACTCGACAGGAGTGATACCACAAAAAACAAAAACCTACGTGAAACAACGCTTGCGCTTGTTTCTTCGTATGATTGAGGTTACCGGAAGCTTAATTTGGTACCCCTTTCCCCAATCTCCCCAATCCCGAAATCAACAATAACACTCAAATTCGTAATCCCCAAAAGGCGGGCAATGCACTTGTAACGCCTCTGGTGTTTCAAGTGTCCATATGCGATTCCGATTGCTTACCATCAGGTAATATAAACTAACAAAGTTACATACCCCAAATTATGATTATTTGAAGAAGAATTTTGTTTGTTTGATTCGTCAAAATTATTAATCCGGTTCTTCTTAAAGAGAAGAAAAAAATATTGTTTGCATTTTTTAAAACTTAAATGCTATAACGCCTAAGTTTGAATATACCTTAATTTGAAAGAATGCTTGCATTCTGGTAATAGGCGGAATAAAAATTGATTATATTATACGAATCGAATTTGGCATGCAGCTGCGCAATTTTAAAGGAAATGCAATTTAAATTTAAAACTACGATAATTAGTTTGTTTCTATGGGTATTTTTTATTGCACCCTTTTATTAACACATTATAACTAAAGAGCATGACTGTAAATGAAGCGAAAGAAGTATGTAAGAACCGAAGCAATTGGGTACTTGTCATGCGACTAGTCAAATTCAATATTTTTTTCCAACGTGTCGAAAACGACAGTATGAATGTTGTACTAGATTGTGTATTGTGACGTCAGGTTTTTTTAGCGTCAAACAGTATATTTATTACTTAAAAAATTGCTGGAAAAATACTAAAATTAAGTTGGTCATAAAATTAATTACGTAATGAAAGCGTGATTACCTATTTTTTAATATTTTATTGTATTGAACAGTCGAAATAATTTATTTCTGATTAAGGCAAGTACCTTATTGGCGTGTCATACTTTCTGCCTGCCTGTGTTTCGTCGTGTAAGTGAGGTTACCGGAGACCCAACTATCCCCTCTCCCCAATCTCCCCAATCCCTGTATCCCCAACTATCCTCAAATTCCTAATCACCAAAAGGCCGGTAACCCACTTGCAACGCCTCTGGTGTGCCGACTGCTTACCATTAGGTGATCCGTCCACTCGTTTACCAGCTTATTCCATAATAATGAGAGAGATATTTGAGACATCTATATATATAAAAGAAAGTCGTGTTAGTTACACCACTTATAACTCAAGAACGGCAGAATAGATTTGGCTGAAAATTGGTAGAAAAGTAGCTTAGAGCCAGGAGACCGACATAGGATACTTTTTAACCATTTTTTTTCCGAAAATCACGAACGGGGACGGGAAAAAATGGGATGGTACGCGTACGAAGTCGCGGGCAGAAGCTAGTTTATTATAAATATAATAATACCACAGCCCATACAATTACAAGTCCTAAAGATATTTCAATTGAGGCAACACAGAACGCCACCGCTCGCCCAGTGATACCAGCTAAATTGCTACTGATGCTAACTTGATTATGACAATATTTGTTCATTGAGCCTGTCAGCTGCAATAATGCGGACGAATCAGTAGTATGTTATATGTATGTGAGCTTCAGTTGCTAGGGCGATTTTGTTAAGGGTAAACTGTGTTTGATTTGAGTGAATAAAGTTCTAAAGATAACATAACATCTTTTTAGCCTTTTATCCCCGAAGGGGTAGGCAGAGGTGTACATTATGCCACTGTAGGTACAATGTAACACCCACTTATCACTATTTATGTTATGAGTCCCATGTAATAGGGGGTGAGCCTATTGCCATATACCGGGCACAATTCCAGACTCCGTGCTACGACTGAGATTTTTAAAAAACCCAATAACAGTTTGCCCGACCCGGGAATCGAACCCGAAACCCCTTACCCGGTAGTCGCACTTGCGATTACTCGGCCAACGAGGCAGTTATTTGATTTTGTACATATATGTATATTTGTATTCTACTAAGGCTGCGGGCCCGCAATCGTGGCAGGCGCGGGATAAAATCGCGCCGTTAGTCATTAGCCTAAGGGACTCTGTCTCAAAACAGTCTATTGTTAAACTATAGGTCTGTCTCTTCACAAGACGGTCTTGCCATAATTATCTTCTTGCTTGGTAAGCGGATCAATATCTACGTTTATTAGAGTTCAGAGAGCAACTGCTACCTGAAGCCTTTTTTATGCAATAGGAGGCAAACGACCTGACAGATCACCTGATGCTCAGCGATTTGTTAAATGTGTAAATCTTAGTTGGTACATTTCTGTCATAAGTACCCTATGTATGTACAATAGTATAGCCTATTGTACCCTGTACATTATTGTACCCTGTACCCTATTGTACTTTGCCATCACCACATTATTTTATGACGATGAACAAGGTAAATACATTGAATGTTTAAAAAACTGATATTTAATTTCGTTCTGGATTCCAGACAATTCCAGAGGTACGTCTGGGTGGGAAATACACAATGCCCTTGTAGTCTGCCCATCTGCTGGAACTTTTATTCTAGAACTGAAGAATTAACATGTCTTTTTCATGTTAATAAGCAATATCGAGGTCAAAACCCTACTGCGCTTGTGGGGTATATTATGTCCCATAGTTATTTTTTTCTGGGACTAAATTTTTATGAACTTTTTTTATCTTGTTCATAAGTATTTCCATGGTTTTTACTGTATTTCTAGAAGATAGATATTTCCTTAGTCTTGATTTGTTCCCCTATGATTGAAAAGCGCACCTACTGCACCAAATTTATAACATATTTTGGGATACCAAAGCTTGTTATTATGTTTGTTGATACAATTATTATTATTAAATTGTTCGATGGTGTTCCAAATTGGTTTTACGTTACAAACAAGCGATTACTTTTTATTAAATAATCCATTATCTCATGTTACAAGTTAAAATTAAATTCTCAGCTTACTTTTTAACTTAACCGCACCTATTTTGAGGATCAAATTAAACTTTCGTCGACCGAAGCTTCATTTTATTTAACGAGACGATAATAGGTTTAATTCTAAAAATAGGTAAGGAGGTATCTTAATTCCTCTAGCTAACAAAACCTTAATTTTGAATTGTTAACTTTTAATTAATTGTGAGAGAGTTAAAATTATAGTTTCGTTGGAAATCTATTTTAGGTCGAAATTAGGTTTTTGAAGTTGAACAAAATAGCTCAGACTAATTATATATCTAGACTACACGTGTGTTTAATTTATAATTTTAATTACTTGCCTATTTGTCTGATCCTAGGAAAGGTCGATGACTGAGGTAAAGTCTAGGTCCTATTCATGGACGGAGAAAAGCTTTTCAGTATATTTTTTCTGATCATTTAGCGTTTTAATATTAGAATAGAATAGAATAATTATTCTATTCTTATTCTGTTTTAATATTAAGGTATTCTTGTATGTAATCAATAAATTTAACTGGTGAAAAGCAGTTAGGTAGTTAGTAGCTACGTAGTAATGGTGATGAGTTCATTTTATATTTTTTTTTTTATGGGATAAGCCAGTAAACGAGCTGATGGATCGCCTGATGTCAGGCGGAACACCAGAGGCGTTATAAGTGCGTTACCGTCCTTTTGGGGATAAGGAATTTAAAGATTGTTAGGGATTCAGGGATTGGGGATATGGGGGAGGGGAGGGCTAATTGGGCTTCTGCTAACGTTACTCACACGACGAAACACAACGCGAGTGCTGTTTCACGTCGGTTTTCTGTAAGACCGAGCCGGCCCATTCGTGCCGAAGCATGGCTCTCCCACACTTTTAATTAAAACTAACTATATTTTAAACATATTTAATTAAAACTAACTAATAGATTAATTTATGCTTACGGATCTTATTTCATTGGACAAACCCACGATAAATGTGTGAGATTAATTTTGGGATTTACCAACAATATAAAATTAATGATTTTAAAACCGCAGTTGTAATAAATCTATTTAAATCCGTTATGTAACTCAGATTGTGTTGTTCAACTAATGTTTGTTAATAAAACAAAAAGACGGTTATTTAATCATGGTTTTAGGTATGTTTATATAGGATTCGCAATAAAAATAACTGATGTAAATTGATGTTTCTAAAAATAACATTTTGATTGTGTTATTTACATTTTGCGTGTAATCTAAATATATTTTGTTAAAGATAATCTTGATTAGATTGCTTCGATTTATTTAAAGTATTGTTGAATGTAATTATTATTCTCAGTAACGTTGTTATGTTACTAACCAAGGCGTGATATTATGTCATGTTTAACATAATATTACGCCTTTTTTTCTAAAAGGGATAGGTAGAGGTGCACATTATGCCACTGTACAATG